AAGTGTATTACGCTTCTGCGCTCACATTTTGCTGTGTGTCACGTGAATGTTTGCTCAGGAAAAGGGGAGTTTGGGGAGGTGCTGCTATCCAAAGCTAAGGGAATCGAAGAGGGCGAGGAGGAGACGGTGGTTCTTGTGAAGAGCCTGCAGACCAGAGATGAGCAGCTCCAACTCGACTTCCGCCGGGAAGCAGAAATGTTCGCCAAGCTAAGCCACCCCAACGTCGTCCGCCTGCTGGGCCTCTGCAGGGAGGCGGATCCTCACTACATGATCCTAGAGTACTATGACCTGGTAATCTCACACTAACACACATACACGCACAAACGCACAAGAAGTGCAGAAATGTTGTTTTGTACCTGACGCACTGCTCTCTATGTCTGCTTTTCTCATGCCAGGGAGATCTAAAGCAGTTCCTGAGAATTTCCAAAAGCAAAGATGACAAAGTCAAGAGTCAGCCTATCAGCACCAAGACCAAAGTAAGCAGTGATCTGTGCAGCATGAGTGACGTATAACAGCCTTCTACACACCAGAAGCCATTGAAATAAACGGAAACGGAAATAAGCTGTTATACAGAGCTCTGTATTTTTGTCTTTGGGCTCTGCTGCAGTATCGTGTAGGTCATCCTGTCTGAAACAGGCCATTGTAGCTTGACCTTTAACCTTCTGCACCCATCACTGTTAAGTTACAGTAACCATTGAGGAATTGTTGAACTTTGCTCACTTTGAACTTCTATGTTCTTATCAAAGTCTCTCTACCATGACCCCCCCCCCCCTTTTCCCCCTCCAGGTTTCCATCTGCACTCAGGTGGCTCAGGGCATGGAGCATCTTTCCAATCACCGCTTCGTTCACAAAGACCTCGCCGCCCGAAACTGCCTGATCAGCAGTCAGAGGCGTGTCAAAGTGTCGTCACTCAGCCTCAGCAAGGACGTTTACAACAGGTCTGTTCAAAAACATACAATAAAGTCTCCTCTGAGTAGAATCATCTGGTTAATATTTCCATCCCTTTGTTATTTCTCTGGTGTTCACATGTGTAGTGAGTACTACCACTACAGGCAGGCGTGGATCCCGCTGCGCTGGCTCCCAACAGAGTCTGTGTTTGAAGATGACTTCTCCACCAAGTCGGACGTGTGGGCCTTCGGAGTGTTGATGTGGGAAGTATTCAGTCATGGGGAAATGCCATACACCAAACTGAGCGACGACGAAGTGTTAGAAGGTGAGTTTGACGCTGCAACACATTACTGTCTTTACCCCAGGAAGAGGGAATCGCTCTTTAAAAGGCATCTCATCCCATTTTTCTGCAGGTCTCCAGGCAGGAAAGCTGAAGCTACCCCTTCCAGACGGATGCCCCTCTAAAATCTACAAGCTGATGGTCCGCTGCTGGGCGCTGAGCCTCAAAGAGCGCCCCTCGTTCACCGACATCGTCCACGCCCTGGGAGAGCTGCCCTCTGACAGCAAAGTCTGAAGTGACCAATCATCTTACAGCAGAAAGGAACTGTTACCAACTCTGCCCCGCCCCCTTCCCCTAAAATACAGACAGGAATGCTGGATTATTTAGTCTCACACATTTCAGGGAAGAGGGTTGAGGGGGAAGAAAAAAGAAAAAAAAAAACTTTAATTTTTTATGCATTTCAACAATTTTTTTGAGTGTGGATTAGACTTGTTTGCTATATGAGTGGAACTGCACTCAGCTTTGTATGAATGGCTTCGTGCGAGCAGTGCCAGGAGTTTGCCTTCACCGCAGTATGGACGATCCTCCCCCACCTCCAGCCTCCGCCTGTGGTTCCACTGTGACCCCGCCCGTCTGCGGCCGTTTTCGTTTCACGGAGCCTCACAACCTCAGTGCCTCTGCCCCTTCACACACACTCACACACACTCACACACTCTAACTTTGTAGGAATGATGGTGCATTCGCTGGCTCTGATTAGTGCGAAGGATTTGCCTGAAATGTCACGTCACCATTTAACTCCTTGGAGTTTTCTCATTAATCTAAAGAGGATATTGAAGAGAAAGTGGGGCACAGTGGGACTGCAGTGGAGCGATGAAGCCTCTGTAGATAATCAGCCACTTTACTAGTGTGTCGAGTGAGGTCGTTTAAACTGGTCTGTTCCCCTCGCAATTACATCGAGCTGCATCCCGAGTCCGCCACCCTGACCCCTCAGGTGTCTGCTCTCTCTCCACCGGGTACAATCCCCCAAATTGTTTGCTTTTGTGTGTTTGAGTGAGTGTGTGTGTGTACATGCACTGAACTGTTGTCCCTACAGACAGATAAGGAATGGGGTTTTGCATGAAGGTTTGTGGAAAACAAGTAATCCGTGTTACGGTAACACTTCAGGAACAACGACAACAAAGAAACATGTTTTATAGCCAAGGAACATGTTGAACGGATGAGATCGTGCCAGTGTGGGCTTTATACATTTTTTATAAGTGTGCTCTGTCTGTTAACTTTGAGGTGCTTACAGGTCACTGCTGATGGGTAGGAGTACTCATTTTTACCACACGAACACCATCGTGTCCTCTCAGCTGCAGGAATTGAACCCGCCGCCACGTTTGACCTGCTTTATTCTCTCCAGAGGTCCAATCACAGTTTCTCTCCTGGTCCACCTGTTTTGTGCAATGCTGCGAAGCGGACCATCACACCAGGCAGTGTGTACATAATGTTAGAAGCCTTGCACTAACTTCACTTAAAAGATTATCCCTTTTTTATATATATATATAAATATATATATCATGTTGTGTAGAAGGACATGCAGGTGCCTGGTTATTTATGATGAAGGTCCTGTTTTTTGTTTTTTTAACTGTAATAGAAAGGTACTTCTGTGAGGTGGTTTATGCTATGTATTCATTCTCATGGTCCATCTCGGTGTGCGTTCAGTCTGGTAACCGGCTGGGTATGCTAACACAAAGTACAAAGGAGGTCAAAAGAGTGACTGCAGGTCACCAGTGCTCGTTTAAGTGCCTAGTAAATGAAGGATTATCTTAACCGTTTCCCTTTCTGTTTGTTGTTGTTTTTACATCATCTAATCATATGCGATGGCCTTTGTTTATGAACCTGTTTTTATACGTTGTTTTTAGTGTAATATTTTGTTTTTATGAATGCTAGGCACTCACAACTAGACCTCTTTCTTTTTTTAAAATCTGCTTCAGCACATGTTCACAGTAATCACAGATGTATACATGCTGCTGTCAATAAAGGTTCACAGTGTTTTTACCCAGTTTGTTGTGACAGTTACTTTAACTTCTTAATATTTTCAGCTCAGTGTTTATGCTGAGGTTGTAACAAATATTTGAAAAGAAAATGTGGTAATTAAGCTGTGTACAAGTTCACCCCCAAATAAGGTGTTGGAGTGGTGAGAAATAAATGGCTTGTTTTTTGTATTGAAGTGAAAATATGTTGTAAATCATAGAGCTGGTGGCTTCTTCACTGATACCAGAGTGTTGTGTGACACGCTCTTCTTGCAGCCGTGTTACAACAAAATATGAGGTTAAGCATAAGTGATGAAATCTTAAATGAGGTGGATTGCTTATCTCTTGCAAGTCTCTACAAGTTACACACACATAATTAAAGTGTGTGTGGTGGTGGTGGGGGCTAGAAGTAGGACTAAAAGGATTTGTACTTTATAGTGTTGGGCTGTAGTTTGTTAAACCACTCTTATGACCTTGTAAAAGTACATCCAGTACTGTTTTTTTCTTTATCCAAATAAAAAGTCTCTGTTGTAGCCACTAGAAGGCGCTGTGCGGTTAGGTAAGGATTAAAGCTGACCCTTGAGGCTTGCCAAACATTTTTTTCCCTATTATAATTTGTTTACAGTTTAATGTGATAACTAGCTTTTAAAGAAGTTTCCTCAATGGGTCTATGTGCTTAGTGAGTTTTAGCACTCCCTCAGTCGTTATGGGTCTCCTCCTAACTTTGAGCTCTGTGCAATTTGTGTGTGCGTGTGTGTGTGTGTGTTGGGGGGGGGGCTTTGATGGATCTGCACACAGAACCGTGCGCATGTCACTTTTGGGCCTCGTTCGGTGCGCGTGACATGCCGAGAAGCAACACTGAATAGAAATGAGTCTGTTAACGCAATAAATGTCTTTCCACTGCGGTGATGTTATAACAATTTTCCGAGTAAATCTGCGTTTCACCGAACTTTCGATTTTGTAGTTCACTTGCAATAAAAATCCCCTGAGCATCCTGCCAGTGAACCATTTTCAAATGCCTCAAAACTCTGGCGTTTGTTTTAACTTGCCCGTAAGACCAGGTGGGTGGAGGTTGTTCCATCGTTTCAAACAGCGCACCTAAGTGCCTCTGACTGATTTCCCTCTGATACCTTTTTCTTCTTTTAAATGAATACGGATTACACGTTTCAAAGAAAACCTAATGATGAATGACATCAGTTTAAGTTTTTTCTTTGCTGTTAGGTCCACTTGTAGAGGAGGAAGCCATATATGACGACACTGGTAACACATTTTACTAAGTGGGCAGGAACTGTTGCAAAGGTGAGCAAGATGAAGTAAACAGACAGTGACTGCACCTTGCTTTAAAGTGGCGTTATTAGAAAGTTTGTAGGAAGCAGCAGGCTTCATACTCAAAGGAACTTGCCTATTACAGTTACATTACCTGTTCAAGTCGATGTGCGATAATCTAGCACCTTAAATGATCTCATATTGCTGAATTATCTACAGTAACAGTGCCCCACACAGATAAAAGGAGATGATATAGTTCAACTTCCGGGAAAATGGGAGTTTGCTGTGTGGTATAGGCGCCACAACCTGTGGGTAATTAAAAAAAATAAATAAAATAAAAGTTGGATGTTTTGTTATGTTGGTGCCTTTTTACTTCTCCACGGTGACGTTGTCGGTTAGCGCAACCATTTTGGTATTTATTCTAATTAGTGTGCTTCGCTGACCAATGACAGCACTCCTCAGATAATCCTCAGCCAATCCGTACACGACGCTGTGACTCACCAAATAAGGAGAGACAGCACCAAATAAGGAAACATTGTATCTCTTTATAAGGAGGGAAGTAGTTCCTCGGCTGAGGTATTACTCCGCTGTCGCTTTCGCTGTCTTAAATTTTGAGGTTTATGTTCGTTTGTGACACGCGGAAAGAGAAATACTGTAACATTATCTGAGAGAAACTTCGACTTGTGTGCGAGCAAATCGACACTCGAGCTATTTTCGGTTCACATGGCGGACTAGGTGACGTGGCGCAGCAATATGGAGGTCGCTCTTCGCGCTTTCCTTTTTGAGAAAGTGCTCAGAGTTTTGGAAATAGAGGAGGAGGGTGAAGCAAACTGAGCCGGGGTTGAAGGGTCTTGGGGGCAGCATCACTTTCGAAAGTTTGTCTCGGTAATTTCCTGGAGTCTCTGAACCATCATTTGGTCGGGTTTGTTTACATATCGTGGCCCGGACGTGTATGCGTTTTATCAGTCATTTACGAGGCAACCGAATCCAGCTTTCTTGGCTGGTGTTTAAAAAACTCGCTCCAGTAAATATATAATGTTACCGAGCCAGGTTGGATCGGCACCACCTGGAAACGGCTCGGGTTCAGGCAGGGGTACCACAGGACACAGCTCGGGGTTGGTCGGCAGCGGGATTCGTCCCGTTCTTGTCAGATCAGGGCAAGCTATACCCGGGGTCAGCGAGAGTACCGGTGCTGCAGGGCGACAGGGGGACAGAGATACCATTGGGATGCTGGGAGCTAATGGTCCAGGGGGTCCGAGAGGTGCGAGGCCGGGGAACGGGACCGGTGTAAACCCTCTTCAGACTTCCGTTCAAAGCAGCATGGTGGGCTTAAGTCCAGGAGTAATGTTGCCTCACGGAACCCGCTTCGATCCGGACCGGGAGAGTGCGCCTCTGTGCAGCGGCTCAGATAACGACTCGGACTCCGGAGATGATGACGAACCCGTGGGTTCGCTTGGGGACAGCAGGAGAGGGGTGAAGCGGGAGAGAGGGGAGATGGAGGCTGCGGTGTCGGGGCAGGAGGTAGGAGTATCTCCCGGAGGTTACAGCATGGTGCCCGGAGGGGTCGCCGGGGCAAAGCCGGGCAAGAAGACACGTGGACGCGTAAAGATAAAGATGGAATTTATTGACAACAAGCTGAGACGGTACACCACTTTCAGTAAGAGGAAGACGGGCATAATGAAGAAGGTGAGTCAGGTGATGCGTCTGGATCTCATCCAGCTGCGCCAGCGTTTGATTTGAGAGTCTCTTTTAGCTGTTGATTGCCTGGAAGTACAGCAGTGTCACACTGTAGGGTGCTTTGCAGTCATTCATGGAAGTGCACTTGTTAATAACCTTTTAAAAAAATCACAACACCCTGGGACAGTGTGCATCTGTTATTACAATAACCACAAGAAAGACTTTGGGTTGGGGTTTTTCTTTTTTTTTCATGTGCGCCTACATGCTGCTGACCTGATGTCAGTCTTGTGTCAGTGTATTTCTTATGAAAGACAAAGCCATTGTGGTCCAGAAGTGACTCAGTGGATGTGAGGAAGTCAGAACATTCATGACAGCCACCGGGCTTTAAATAGAATAGAGCAAATGACAGGTCTATTTATGACACCCCCAATCCCAACTATCACACACAGAAACGTATAAACTGATTCTTGCATGCATACCCGCACACACCTTCACAGACATCCTTGCAACTATTAGATGTAGTTCTCATCACAAGTCACAGCCTGTTCACTCCGTCACTGCTTACAGGCGGCAGCCATGTGGCAGTAAGCAGCAGTCGGCCTGCATGTGCCAACAGCTAACTAAACCCCAGGGAAACAGACCAAAGAACGGTCAAAGAACACTGAGACAGAAGCGAAAAGCCTGGGTTGTGTGGTGGTGGGGTGCTGTCTGTCTGTGCATGCATTATGGTGCTGTACATTACACAGACGTCTAAGTCTCACTGATGACTTGTCCAGTTTTGTCAGTTGACTCTTGCTCATAAGCAGGCGACATTAAAGATGACAAACCTTGCTTCTCAGTCATAACTGCTCTCATTACTGTCTCCTTAAAGCAACATTTCTGAGGAAATTCACAGCTCACCCACATGATTTGATGCCACAATAAAACACCACCGTTTGGTATAGAGTCACGGAGAGTGGATTACTTGAGCTGGGGTCAGCTGTTGACCACAACACCAGCAGTTATTGTGATGTGGACTCGACCACTTTTCATCATGACTTTAAATAAACACTTGTAAGAGGTGCTTTATTGGAGTCCAGGAGTTTTTTTTCCCCCCTCTTTCCTTTAACTTGTCCCTGTGTTTCTTCGGCTGCACCATGCGCTCTGCTGTGTTTCTCTCTTTTTATGTATCCCAGACTGTTGTCGTGGAAACTGAGGTGTCTTTATGTAGGCTCTTGGCAACATGAACACTATTTGACACAGTGTGGGGATGGTTTTCTTTTCTTTTTTCTTTTTTTTTTTTTTTTTTTTTTTGAAAAGGTTGCCCACACTATGCCAGCCATCACAGAAAATGACAGGTGGGTGGAGTGGGAAGATTCATAGATTGGTCTAGGATGAGCCCACTTTCATTTTGAAGGATGCAGTTAGTGTAGCACAGGCCTGTTTGTTCTCTTCTTATGTGTGCCTCAGCTTGCAGCCTTGTAAACACACACTGTTAAATAATTACGTCAGTTTGAGGTTCAGGGTTACTCAATTAGTACTAATATGTGGCATATATGATATGACTTTCTATAGTGGGAAAAGCAGCACAAGTGGTATGAAGAACATTATGTGTGACTCAGCTCAGGTGCAGTGCTGTGGAATGGCCTCGGCTAAATTGAGTGCGTCCATATATTCATTATGCTATTACTTACACCTAAAGTTTTTCCTGCTTTGATGAGTTTAATGAAAGAATGATTTGTCATTTAATTGAAATATTACATTTTTTTAAAAATGCTTTTGTGCCTATGAGTAATGACTTCATGAATTTCTTCACAAATAAAATTGTAACCATTAGAGAAATCATAACTTGTCAGCGTCACACACATTATTTGCTCCAAACCATCAATGTCTTCTAGACAGAATTCCTGCAAGACTGCTCAAGGAAGGATAAACCTATTTATTTATCAGCTATGTACCACAGGCCGTCAGGTAGTTAAACCGTTACTTAGAAAGCCACCACTTGACTCGGCGTCCTTAGCAAATTGCAAGCCAATCTCTAAACTTCCTTTTATCTGCAGAGAAGTGGTTTATTTAAAAAGTTTCAGTCAGGTTTCAGAGCTCATCACAGTACAGAAACCACTTTAGTAAAGGTTACGAATGATCTTCTTATGGCCTCTGACAGTGGACTCATCTCTGTGCTTGTCCTGCAGGACCTCAGTACAGAGTTTGATGCTGTTGATCATAACATTTTATTACAGCGATTAGAGCACGCTGTAGGTATTAAAGGTACTGCGCTGCAGTGGTTTGAATAATTTCTATCTAATAGACTCCAGTTTGTTCATGTAAATGGAGAGTCCTCTTCACATAGTAAGTTTAATTATGGAGTTCCACAGGGGTCCGTGCTAGGACCAATTCTGTTTACGTTATACACGCTTCCCTTAGGCACTATCATTAGAAGGTGTAGCATACATTTTCACTGCTATGCAGATGACACCCAGCTTTATCTACCCATGAAGCCAGATAACACACACCAACTAGTTAAACTGCAGAAATCTTTTAAAGACTCTAATTTTTTATGCTTCTAAATTCAGATAAAACTGAGGTTATTGTACTCTGCCCTAAAAATCTTAGTAACACAGTTTCTACCCAGATGCTTTCTCTGGATGGCATTACCGCCCCTCAAAAGCCTTCAGTTGATCCAAAATGCTGCAGTGAGAGTACTGATAGGAACTAGAAAGAGAGCCTATTTCTCCTATATTGGTTTCTCTTCATTGGGTCCCTGTTAAATCCAGAATTGAATTAAAATCTTTCTCCTCACATACAAGCTCTTGAATAATCAGGCCCCATCTTATCTCGGTGACCTTATAGTACCGTATCACCCCATTGGAGCACTTTCCTCTCAGACTGCAGGTTTACTTGTGGTTCTTAGATTTTTAATAGTAGCTGGGAGGCAGAGCCTTCAGCTTTCAGCCCTCTCTTCTGTGTAACCAGCTTCCAGTTTGGATTCAGGAGACAGACACTGTCTCTAGTTTTAAGATTAGGCTTTAAACTTTGATACCTTTTTGATAAAGCATATAGTTAGGGTTGGATCAGGTGACCCTGAATCCTCCCTTAGTAGTTACACTGTGATAGTTCTAGGGTGCTGGGGGATTTCCAGCACCTTTTTCACTCACTATGTCTTTAAATACCTCTCTGCATTTAATTATTTGTTATTAATCTCCGGCTCTCTTCTACAGCATGTGTTTTTCCCGTCTTCATTCACTCACCCACAGCTGGTTGTGGCAGATGGCCGCCCCTCCCTCAGCCTGGTTTTACTGGAGGTTTCTTCCTGTTAAAAGGGAGTTTTTCCTTCCCACTGTCGCCAAAGCGCTTGCTCATAGGGGATTCATATGATTTTTGGGACTTTTTGTTTTCTGTTATTAATGGGTCTCTACCTTTAAATACTGTTGTTGCAATTTGGTGCTATATAAATAAAATTGAGTAAATAATACATTTTTCTGCTTCTTTTTCGTATAACTTTGGTGATTTTATGAGACTTTTAAGGCACAGTGTTAGGTTTCAGGAACTTTCTATTAGTATTTTATTTATTTCTTGACATAGAAGGTGAAGGACTGCAAACTACTGTGTATCTGGCAGTTATTCATTTTTCCTCAGGAATACATTGACATACGATTGCATTTAGTCTCGGCTGAATGGCTAATATTAATCTGCTGTGTTAAATATTTTAGTGTTTTGGGTTTTTTTTAATGGTAGCGTGAAATACAAAAAAGGAGAGGCATTGGCTTTGGCCAAATTGGAACTTCAGTATGGGTCAGTCCTAGATTTTTCAGCTACACGATGAATAATTTAGTCTACTAAAGTTTAGAGGATTAAAGGATGGCTGCCAATTTCACAGAGCCCTGCTTCTTATCTTCAAGTAGCATATTTGGTCTGAAAATAAAATAAAACATTTAGTAACACAACCATCAAATCTTTCTGAGAATATCAATGAAAAGTTAGAACAAATATTATTTTCAGCACTTGAGATAGCTGCTGTACATAAACTGACTGCCCACTGTATTAGGTACACTTATTCAATTACTCTTAAAACCCAGATGTCTAATCGGCCAATCACATGGCAGCAGTTCAATACATTTAAGTACATTAGCCATGATCAAGACGACCTGCTGTTCAAATGGAGCGCAGGAATATACAAGAAAAGAGATTTAACTGATTGAAGCCTGGTTGTTGACAGGTTGGTCTGAGTATATTAGAAACTGTTGATCTGCTGGGATTTCTTCACAACCATCGAAAATTTATAGCGAATGCTAAAAAGAAGAGAGATGGGGAGCAGTTCACGGGGTGAAAATGCCTTGTTTATGTCACAAGTCAGAAGAGAATGACCAGACTGCTTCGAGCTGATAGGAAGGTAACAGTAACTCAAACAACCACGGGTTACAACCAAGATATGGAGGAAAGCATCTCTGAATGCATCACATGTCAGACCTTGAAGTAGAAAGGCCGCAGATGCAGAAGACCCCACTGGTGCCACCTTATCTGCTAAGAACATGAAACCGAGCCTAAAATCAGACAAATTTCGTTTGGTCTGATGAGTCTTGAGTTTTTCTGCAACATGCAAATAGTATGATCGGAATATGGTGCAAACAACATAGTGTGGGCGATCAAGTACCAACTGTTAAACAGTAGGGGTGCAACGATATTCGTATCGATATTGAACCGTTCATACAGTGCTTTCGGTTCGGTACGCATATGTATCGAACAATACAACATTTGTAATTTATTTTATCAATTTTCCTTCTGACGATGCTGTCTGTGTTGAGCGCTCAGTGAATCTGTGTTCGACTACTCCGCCTAGGCTGCACTGTCGAGCGCAGATCCACTGAGCGCTCAACACAGACAGCATAGTCAGAAGGAAGAGCGCAGGGCAAGCTAGCGAGACAGAAGTTAAGCTCTCCTTGCAACATGGCAAATTGAACCTCCCCCACCCTCATTCAGATCTGGCGTTTGGAATTATTTTGGTTTTCATGTGACGTATGACCCTGAAGGTAAGCGCGTCATGGACTAAAGTAAAACAGTATGTTGGATGTGCCACGCAATGCTCAATTACATGGGTGGGAACTAGTGTGTTAGCGCAGTTAGCTCGTTAACGTGTTGGCCGTCTAGCCCCATGCACGGGGCGATCGGCGGTAGCTCGTTAACGGAGATTTGCCGTGTTGTGGCGTTAAGGTCATTTCAACGAGATTAACCTGAAAGCACTAGTGGGAACACAACGAATATGACTGCACATTTACGCCGACATCATCCTAGTGCAAAGACAAAAACAACAAGCATGCTACAAACTTTACCCGAGTCATTTAGACAGCTGTTAGCACATGATTCTCCTTATGCTGCTGAGAATATAGCCCAGAAGAAGCGGATAGTATAGCTTTTATTTTGGAAAGAGACATTTCTCTGTAATAAACTCTCTTTTCCAAAGATGAGTGATTCCTCAATCAGATACAGGGCTCGCAATATCGCTAGCCCGACGTCCCGGAGCTAGCGATTTTTTCAGTCGGGCTACCAAAATCTATCTCTTCCCTGCCCGTCGGGCTATTGTAGGAAAATATATGTCAATGCTTTTGCATTCTTTCAGAAATGTAGCTGGGTAATTATGTCATTGGCATCGGTGAGCCACTGTCAATATGTGACATATTGAAATCGCGTTTGAATTTGCGCTTGTTTTTTTGCTTTCACTTTGCAATCGTGCGAACTGTGTATAGAGAGCGACAGCACTGATCTGTGAGTGATGATAATTTGTGCACCAATTCCTCTGACATCGTCTTATTAATCGTTAGCTTACTATGCAAACATGACAAGTGAAATCTCCCGCAGCAAGCTTAAACATGTGAGAGGTTGATCGCGCAGAGAATCGCTGAGCTTATGTGAGTGCGTGTGTAAAAGCATTTCAGTTCTGCTGAGCCAAATAAGACAGGTCAGGGTGAAGAAGTGACAGCCAAAGAAAAGCTTACCACAAAACGGAGAAGTTATGACAAATCAGACTATAAGGCAAAAAGAAAGTGCAGCTTTATGGTTTCATGGACAAAAGAATTTCTGTGGCTGCAATATGACGAGCTAAATAACCAGGGCTGCACATAAGTGGTCCGCAGGTGCGCATTCGCTGTCAAAATAAAAAACACGCACAAGGGTTAGGGTTAAATTTAAAAACTGTACTTTTGAGTTAAAATATATATTTATAATTTTAATAAATGACAAATTAAAAATGCATGAAATTTTTTTTGTATCGAAAAAATATCGAACCGTGACACCAAAGTATCGAACCGAACCGAACCGTGAATTTTGTGTATCGTTGCACCCCTATTAAACAGCATAGCCTACTTGACCATGTCCATCTCCTTATGACTGCTGTGTAACCATCTTCTCTAGGCTGCTTCCAGCAGGATGATGCATCATGTCACAAAGCTCAGATCATCTTACTGATTTCTTGAACACGATAAGTTCACTGTACTCAAATGGTCTCCACAGTCACCAGATCTCAGTCCAATAGAGCACTTTGGGATGTGGGGGAATGGGAGATTAACATCATGGGACAGTTCCACAAAGATGGTTCTGAAGGCAGAAGGGTTCAACCAAGTATTTGCAAGTTGTACCTAACTAGTGTATGTAAGTTAAGCCAGCGTCCCCAACCCCCGGGCCGGTCCGTGAGTCTTTTGGTACCGGGCCGCAGGAGTTGAGGCTTGGGTGTGAAATATATGGTTTTCAAGGGTTTTGTCGGTTTATAGCTTAATTTTTTTCTTTAGCGTTTTTATCGTTAACTCGGTTTCCCTGGGTCTTTCCCCTTGTGTTATGAATAAATCTTCTGTTTTTGGTACCGGTACTGGTTTTATTTTGTTGTATTTGTCCGCGACACCTTAAAGGCCGGTCCGTGAAAATATTGTCGGACATAAACCGGTCCGTGGCGCAAAAAAGGTTGGGGACCGCTGAGTTAAGCGATTGATCCTTACTGTGCCCATCTTTGTAAAATTGCTGAATGCGCCTTTGCATGAGAAGGGAAGACCAACCAAGACTTTCAAGGGATTTAAACCCACAGCTGACTTCTCTTAAGACTAAGTTTGGGACTTGCATTAAGAAGACAAACTCTGAAAACCCTTTTTTGGGTGGGAGTGGGTTAAAACTACATTTACTTTCAGTTGTTTGTGGATGGGTCTTTTTTTTTCTCTCAGTTATTTGATAAATAGACCTGGCTGGCATATTTTGTGGCATAAGAACCAATTACAGTCAGAGGAACACCACCGCCACCAGCAGCAGCACCACACACACGCCCTGCAGTCATAAATATTTATGTGAAAATCAGCAGAGCAAGGAAACTTATTAAAGCACTATGTAGCTTGTGTTGCCACATAGCACTCTCAACTTGATAAATTATTCCTTTTCTGTCATGGATGTTGGCCAAACATCGAGCTCTGTTGTTAGGGACCCCTCCTCTGCAGGCAGCACTAAGTCGGAGTCGAATCGTTCAGGTTAAATAAGTGCAGCGTGCCGGCGAGCCGCTGCAGTTGCAGCTAGTCATCATTAGCCTTTATGTTCTCTGTCGTCATGTTACTGCACACTAAAGCCGATTATGTGGTCAGATAGTGAAGACAGGACAGATACGGTCCATAATGAGCACACTATGGTGGAGTAGACTCGGACAGCGACATGGGTTTTATAACTGCTCAATAAAACGCTTTAATTTGAATGTGATTCATGTCCTCCCCCTCCCCCTTTTTGCTGCGTCTGACAGTGTGTTCCGCTCCACCTTGCAACGGCACATCTGTCAGCTCGGCTCTGGGTACGCTGTGCTTGCCAAGGCGATGGTAACGGCACTGTGCCTTCGCAGCACCAGGAGCATCCTCCAGATAACTGATGACTCATGTAGATAAAGGCTTTCTCAGGAGTTCACGCCGAGTGCAGCATCAGGGTGCACTCGGTCGTGTGTGTGCGTTGGATGGAGCTGAATCTCGGTGTGCTTCTCCCTTCGCTCTGGGGAGCTTTAATGCGAGTGTCTGCAAGCTGTGCGATGAATGACGAGCCGGCGGAGTGCGACGGAGACCTCGTGTTTTGCAGGCAGCCACCTCTGAGTGTTTAAAATATTCCTCCTGTCAAGACTCAGTTACTACTATTCCCCCTGTCTATCAAGCTTGCACTTTCCTGCAATCAGTCTCTCGACTATATCACACTCTCTATTCTGGGAAGCCTTATCTTGTGTTATTTTAGTTTCATTTGTGCTATACGTCAGAGTCCACCAAAGAAGTATTTATAGATTCTAGTGTTCTCTTGGCTGTTTTCCCACAGATTCATTCCCTCCTCCATTTTTAGGGTTAATTTGCACATGATGTGAAGGTAATCCAAGCCCTAATTTGGCGAACTAGCTCTTTTTTTTTTTCTTTTTTTTTTTTTTGATGTTTGGATTTCTAGCTCGACTCTTGGCCCGTTCTCTCGGTCGGTTAATCACATCTTCTTCTCACTTTCTCAGGCCTATGAACTCTCCACCCTGACGGGAACCCAGGTTCTGCTACTTGTGGCCAGCGAAACGGGTCACGTGTACACTTTTGCTACTCGCAAACTCCAGCCCATGATCACCAGTGAAACGGGCAAAGCCTTGATCCAGACATGCCTCAACTCGCCAGACTCTCCGCCGCGCTCCGACCCGTCCACAGATCAGCGCATGAGCGCCACCGGGTTTGAGGAGACTGACCTCACCTACCAGGTGTCGGAGTCGGAGAGCATGGGCGACACAAAGGTGAGTATCATAAAGTGAAAGCGGTTGCAGGCCGGTCCTCCAGCTGGCCAAGACAAAAAATACAAACATTTAATAAATAATAAGACTCGCTGCCTCGTTTCAAAAGAGCAAAGGTCAACTATTAATAATTTGCACTCACTCCTGTATCTGTCTCCACAGCTCATCTCTCCTGCGTTCAGGTACTAAAGTCATTGTGACTCACTGTCTGTTCTCTAATAGAGACATGGATTTCAGTGCAAATTAAAGAAAAACCCCAAAACCCCTCATAAAGCACAGTAGAGTCGCTAATGGATATAATGGGAAATCTCTCCAGAAAAGGCCAGCGTACAAGGAGAACAAATAAATCAAACCCACAAGCAGCTGTGGAAAATAATCTTTGTCCTATTGTAAACACAGTTTTGAACTTTTGCCCGTTAACATGTGAGGCTTCTGGTTTGGGCTCGCGGTTTGGTTCTGGGCACCAAATCGTTTTTTCAGTGAAACCAAGAAGTCTTCAGTAGTCCTTCAAAGCATTCGTGCAGAAGGGAAAGCCGGATAAGACGTGCAGAATTTATCCCGCTCCACCAAAAAGAGAGCAGTCTTCACTTTTACCTTTTTGACCCCTCATCCAGGAAAACCTCGTAACACTCGTGAAGATAAATCACTGCAGGCCTGGGCTGTGTTTGGACGAGAAACACGCGGTCTGCTATATGGAGGCTTTTGCTGTTTACGTTTGATTTTTGTGACAGAGACGTCTGATATTCACTTTGAGTCGTTTAACAGAACGTGTGAGTCTTAAAATATTTGGATGTTGCCGCATTTTCACAATTTGCGTCATTATAGAAATGATAAATAATAATACAACAGGTAACCTTTCACTTAATTTCTCCCAATTATTATTTTAAGTTTGAATGAAAAGTTTGGTTTCTGTGTCGTTGAACTTTAAAACATCTAAGGGTTTGAAGCGTTGAATTGATCGGTGGCTGTTGTCAGCTTTGTGCAATCACGTGCTGGATTCCCTCGACTGTTTACCCAGCTTAAGTATTCTCCTTTGAAGACGCACACTTCCATACTGTTTGCCCGCATGCTGTTTTCACAAGGCGCTAACTAACACATGCCATACATCGTCAGGGATGGGAGATCAACCTTTGCATGTTAAGCCACTCTCATGCCCGCTCTGCTCATTGATAAAAATTAGTTCTGCCTCTGTTGCCATATATGGTATGGTTTCCCTGCCTGCACTCTTGGCTGAGGCCCCTCACATTCCTTATAAGCTGCAGCTGTCTTTGGAGTCCTGTGATTCACCCCCCCAACACACACACACCCTCCTCCACCACCAGCACCACCACCTCCTCTCATTTTAGTGATATGGAGGGCAGGGAGTGGGGGGGTAGGGGGTGGGTTCTGGAAGTAGATATGAGCGGGTGTATTGGAAACATTTTTCGTCCCATTTCATGTGACAGCTATTTGGGTGACTGGCTGTGATACTGTGACCTCTGAGCGTCCACCCCCACCCACCACCCCCAACTGCAGTTTTGAGTGTGGGAGGCTAGCGTGAGACCTCGTGAACCCCTGTGTACAGTGGGACGCAGCAGAAATCGTCAGCGGGCGAGATTTCGTCAGGCGGTTAGGACAGGACAAGCAGGTGGATCGGATCCCTCGAATGCGAGGGATCGTTTTATGTGTGTGCTTGCAGCGTGAACTTCTGCCGAGTCTGGACGCTGTTCATCAGGAATAGTATGTCATGAATACACTCCACTGTAGTCTAAACAATCTGGGTTTTGCAAAGACTGGTGGGGGAGCGGATAACCTTTTGAAGAAGCAAAAAGGAAAAGCTTAGATGATTGAAGTAGATGTAATTTGGTGCCTTTAGCATCGCTCATAAAATCAAATGACAAAATAAACTGATAGGGCTTAACAGAAACAGTGTAATAGCTAGTTCACTGATTGTCTTTCAATACCACTCTCGAGGCAAGCACACAGCGGCTTAGTTTAGATTAGCGAAAAGCCTGGAAAACAAAGGAAATGGCTAGCGTAGCTCTGTCTCTACTGGAGAAAAGGAAGATTTTATGCCTGAGAGTATTCCTTGGATCGGAAAAGCTCAAGTCTCCCTAGTTTTGGAGCAAGTATCGTCTTTTAGAGTACAAGCCTTTATTTCTGATTTATTTGTGCGTGTGAACTCTTTCATGGCATGCATTTTTGATTTCTCTTTGCTGATTGGGACCTGATGAATGTAAAAACAAAGAATTACCAGATTTTTTTAAATTTTTACCTGATTTTTGTTTGTGAAAAATGAAATCCACATATGAGGACATTCGCTTTAAATTTTGATAAAACAGTGGCAGTATAACGTCCGTGTAAGTGGATATAAGGCCCTTGTAGAACAAAGCTTTGTATTTTGGGCTAGACAACCCAAAATGTGATGTCCACATATGTGGACGCCAGGTCCTAGGAAGTTAAAGGAGAAATGATTTGGTCTGCAGTACATTTGAGTGGCATGGTAGTGGAGCATTTAACACTGTTGGGTCACAAGCAGGTAAGCAGGTTCTCGGTTTGAACCCCAGCTTTGGAGTCTGCATGTTCTTCCTGTATCTGTGTTCACTTCATCCCAGAGTCCAAAGACATGCATACTGGGTGTAATTGGTGGCTCTAAATTGGCCGTGGATGTGAGGCAGATAAAGTAGTGGCAGATACACAGAATAAAGATTAAGCGTGACTTGTAGTTTAAAACACTTTGAGTGGTCAGCAGGAAAAGTTCAATTCAATTGTCTTTATTTATATAACACCAAATCACAACAGCAGACATCTCAATGCGCTTTACATTGTAAGGTAAAGGCCTTACAACGACACAGAGAAAACACCAACGATCAAAGATGCCGCACTTTGGGAGGGTGAGAAGGAAGAACTAGCTTTTAACAGGAAGAAACCTCCAGCAGAACCAGGCTCAGGGAGGTCCATCCATCAATTGCTATGTAGATGTAAGCATGTTGCACATTTCACAAAGTAAAACCAGTTCTGGTAACGTTGCGATGCTGGGTAAAATATAAAGACTGTGGTAGTGGGATCTTATCCATTTGATTTCCTATGCAAGAAAGCAAATGAGTCTATTCACCAAGCTGTGCACTGATAGATTGTTATTAAGCTATAACCTGAAAAAGCCACACGTCACTGTTAAACATAAAACATCACGAGTAAATTGGCATGATGGGGGAGGGGAGTTCATCATTTCAAATAGTTGTTTATGAAATGATGGACAGCTCCTTTCTGCCTCGCAGCGCAGTGTCTTCTTTCCATCTGACTGGACCGATCCGTCACTAGCTGGGCTGTCATGTGTCTTTGCCTCCGATTTCTTCTTTGTGGTAAAACACAGCAGCTGCTGTGGAAATTTTCTCACATTTTTCCCCTAGATATTGGTCGAAATTAGTCGGCACAGACTTCTTTCCTGAAGCGTCGCTTTGGCTCTACGTTCAGCAGTCTTCCAGTGCAGGATCAGTTCATTCCCCCTAAGAGTGCTTTTATTCGAGCCGAAAGGAGTCCTGAGACGATAAGACATTAAGATTAGTGTGTGACTCACTGTGGAAAATCCTCGCTTTTTTGTTGTTATTGCTCTGTCAGCACACATAAAAGCAGCAGTAACTTCAAGACGGTCCTCTCAGGACTTTTGAAAGGAATTGTGGGAGAGTGATGTGTGACGTAGAGTCTGAGTGAGGCATGTTAAGAGGAAAAGGTGGAATACATGAGAAATGAAAACACATCATAGGGCAGATTTGTTGCTTTTTGCGCATTTCTTGCATTTTTTTTGGAGATAGTTTATGAGTAATACTACGTCCCTACAGTGCAGATGTTTGTTTCTTATGCTTTTTGGGTTATTTTTGGAAGGGGATAGCAAATCCCACAACTTATGCTTACTTAGATGATCTATCTTGGCATCGAATTCTCAGTATCAGAGTCGGCTCTGGTTTTCCCCCTCCTCCCACCCGCACTGTTTCCTTCTCCTTTTCTCCCGTACTTCATCCCTCACTCCCCCCTCCCTCCTCTTTGGTTCTGGTTGCTGGTGTCACTGCTGTTGTGCTCCTCGTGAAGTTTATTTGTTGCTGCGCTCATTATCACAGTTCACTTTGCCACGCAACACTGACCAGAAAACGTCCAGAGTGAGCTCACTTGTCCTGACTGAGCGGCGGCGTGTTTGTTTTCCCCGGCAGCCCCGAGCTCTGGAGAAGAACAGATCTGACAGCTTATAATCGCACATCTGTAAACATGTATGAAGCACGTCGATCGCGCTGGAGGTGGTGGAAAGCAACGTTGCAACAAAAGCCATGTCATCCACCCCCCGCCTCGCAATCCCGTCCTCCACCTCCCCCTTAAGTTTGCAGCAAGCAACTGGACAGGTCAGCCGCCATTGGCTGCACCTCCTCCACTTGGGCTGCCTTGCCTTTTTTAGCAGTCCCAAATGGAGCTGCAAATTCCATGTTGCTGGCAGGGTGACAGACTGGGAGATGGGAGCCAGCAAATGGGAGATTAGACGAGGGCCAGCCACCATTAAACTGCACAATGGGCTCTCCAACCAACACTGGACTAGCCTGCCAGTTGTCACCTTCAATTTGGAATGATTAATCCCACATGAATAGAGAATCATTTGTGTCCTTCCCTTTTTAATTACTCTCTCATTTCCTCCGCCTTTAAAACGGCTCCTTGTTTGGTGCCTGCGAATGTTGGGAAGCTTTTATTTTTATTTTTTTGCTCATGTATGCAAACCTTGAGGATGCAGAAAATTTAAGAGAAATGAAAGAGCTACAAGAACATATTCTTGATGTGCGAATGTTTTTTTTTCTCTCATATTTTGTGTGATCTGTTTTGTTTTTTTTTATCTCATATGTTCACCGTGCATAGAGGAGGGCCAGGATGTGTAATACTTGAGATCCCCCCATCGCTGGGGAAAAAGATGTTCCTGTCTTGTAAAATAGATTGCATAGCAAACTAAGGGCTGCGCAGTCTGACTCCCAAAGATTCATTTCTTACTGGAGACGACTCAGCCCTCCACTGCACAACTATAAATTTTGCCTTCATGTGCTGCGTTGGGGTACCTCATTATACTAAGCTGGATGTTTTACAAGGTCGTGCTTTGGTTAGGTTTAGTTTTTAGTGTTCTGAGCCATAGTGAGGCTGATTTGAAAACCACAAATAAAAGGGTCGACTGTAGTCAACTTTTATTTAGATGAGCAGTTTACATCCAGGTTGGTGTGGCTGCTGCTACTGACGGATGTTAGTGGTTTGAGGCTGCGGCTGGCCACCTCCTAAATACACCAAGGTTCGTCCCCGACTCCTCCTGTCTGCATGTCAAAGAGTCCTTGTGGGGTGTGTTGGGAAAGATAGTTAGCATAGAGCAAAGTGTATGGATGTGTTTGTTAATGAATGAGCAGTTTGAGACCTCTATTAGTGCCATTTGTATTAAAATTTACCCATAGTTATGCTGAGACTTAAAACATAAAGCCTTAAACACTTACCATTTTAAGTAATATTCATTGTAAATGTAAACATTAATTAGCTATCAGTCACTGTTTTGGGCAAGTCACAGTTGTAAAAGCACTTTTTTTTTTCCTTGTGGTATTTCTTCCAAAACTAACAGATCATACCTTGATGTAGCTTTCTCTCCCTATGAAAGTCACAGTCGGGATTGACCACCAGTGAGAATTTGGTTGGATAAGAACAAATAGTTGAAGGTACAGTCTTGGTACCTTTTTATTTTCACCGTTACCCTTTGAACTCATGCAGATGTTGCAGCCATGACTGTGAGTGTTTTCTCAACTCGCATACAGCGATTGTAATGATTTAAGATTTCGGTAATTGTGTATATGTGGTAGGATGTAAGTGGGCAGGAAAAAGTACCTGCTGAGATTTCCATCCACTCAGTAATCTGAACCAAGGCGGCCGCTTAATATCGTCTGCAGTCAACACAATATAAAAGTATAACAATAACTTACTGACTAGTTAATTCGGAGCCAATATTAAGTGTTATCTGCTAAACAGACTGTTGGTGTGTTATGGTAAAAAGGGGTGGAGTTCATGCTTATTAATATGCTGTATCATTTTGTAACGTAACAGTGTACTGAGATAGGAGGAGATGAACGAGGCTTAAGCAGGAAATGACAGAGCTGAAGCGTTGGCTACATCACAAGAATGATCCTCTGCTCTCGCTTCTGTTCTGAAAGAATGCATTACACCACCTCGGCCTATGTTTACTATGCACCGCCGTGACTGTGAAATGAAAGCCAGCACCGTTTATAGACGGGCCAGTTGAACAGGAGACACACGGAGATGGTCAAACAAACCAGTAGGTCAGAGCAAACTTGGCTATGTAGGTCACAGAGATAGTGGGGGTACGGCTGGACTGTTTGACTAGCACAAAGGCTAATTGCTCTATTTGACCCTCTGAATGCCAAACCCCTGCTCCCTATTGGATCTCAGGAGGGACAGGAAGCAGAAGACACACGTTTAAAAAAACTGAGCCGTTCTTCAGAGCGGCATATCTGTCTGCTTCAGAGTCGTGTTTTGCGACCTGAACGGTGAGAGCTGCTTGGTGTCAGATGGCAGCCGTCTTTACACGTGGCCTCCTGCTGCCTCTGCGGGCCGGAAAGGGTTAATTCCCCCTCAGAGGTGCTCAGGTTTCCCGCCAGCTGTCTGTGCCCTCAGCTGTTTGTACTCTGCCCCTGTCCTGTCCCAAACCTCACACACAGGTCTGACTCTGCTCAGTCTGCCTCCCCCCCCCCACACACACACTTTCTACTGCTACTGTAGCTAAAACCCTACAGTTACACTTCAAGCTCTGTTGGTTTTCATGAAATACTTTGGTCTCATTGCTTTTTTCCCTCTGTGCCATCAGTGATACCTGTGGCCCGTGCACCAGTGCAGACCCGGTTACCCCCCTTTGTCTAGTTTAGTTTAGTTTCATTGTAAAGCCTCCTGGGAGAAGGAAGGTGCGGTGACAGCTGTGCCTCACTCTGTCAGCAATCACTCGCTGATGAATGACAGTTATAGTATAGCAAATGGGCGACGGGCTGTTGTTGTGTGACTTTATTTCGTTTTCCTTTTTGGTTGAAAGGGCAGAACAGCGCTGCAAGGCCCTCCCCCCCTCCGACTTTCCAGCTGCTGTTTAACTAAAGAGGTAAAGGACCTTGAACTGTCACAGCCCCTCAGCAGAGCCTGGAGTTGAGTGGACCAGCTAACTAAGAGCAGTGCAAAGTTTTGCACTTGTAGATTCTTGTAAGCGGAGCAGCTTTTCTCAGACTTGTCTATCTGTAACCCCACAGTTAAAGAGAGTGAAGTCTGGAAGACTCTGCGTTAACTGCGACACTTAGAGGAGTTTATAGGCTTTAAAAAAAAAAAGCCTTTGTTTAATGATTAGTCGGAGCCATGCTAAAAGACTGTTGTAAATATTACTATTTGATTAGACTGCAGTGTGGCGTAAGACAGCAAGCTTGTCCTTACAGTAGCTCCATTTATGTGTTTGCATGGCTAGTGTGTGGTTGGAAGGGCTTATCAGTAGCATGCTGGTTTCTCCACCTCTCACCCACGTTATCAGTTACATATAAAAGCCAATAGGACTGAGAGAAGAAGGCTTCGCCTACTTCTATATGATTTTCCTCTTATCAATAGCAGGTGCACACTTACTTTTTTTTTGGGAATTTCAACCCTATAAGATGCAGTACGCTTGCTTCACTTGCTTCCTCATAGTAAGCCGGTGTGATGTTGCAGGCAGATGTGTTTTCCAGACATTATACCTTTATTATTCACTCACTCTGCATCTTTGAAGGATCCAGCCACGTAACCGACCACCTAAATATGCTCTAACGTGAGGTGGAATTATTATTATTATTTTTTTCCAGCTTGTAACATCAAATATTTTAATCGTTTATCACCAGGAAGTTGGCTGGCCTCAAACTGCTGACAGTATAAATGACATTGGGGGGGGGAAGGGGGCAAGTTCCAGAGTTCATAGGCAGCTGACAAATAGTGCAGCAAGTTAATGGTAATTGTATTATATCCATGTAATATTTCATTGTGTATGCAGCTGAAAAAAGCAGACGGGGTGATATCTGATGACTGCTTCTAACCAGACTGATGTTGGCCACATCAGGGTTAGCTTTTGAAATTAAAAATCCTTTTTTATTTTTATTTTTAAATCCTCTGTGGAAATGTTAAGAGTCCGAGGATCCCTGTTGGATGTGGATGCAGCTCTTTGATTGAATCCAATCACCTGGACTCAAGCCCTCAAAGAACACTGAACCCACATAGACGTGCCAACTATTAAATGCCTTCTAATGTGTAGGCTTACTCCCATTGTGCTATTAGAGATCATTAGTATCATGTGAATAAGAGCTTGTGCGAGTGTGTAGAAACGGGCACGGTGGGTTTCGATGTACTTTATAGTCTCGGCCTAACGCCTACTCTGCTCTTATCATGCAGCCCACTCGCCAACACATCCTGCTCGGCGGTTCAATGGATGTTCGCATTAGCTCTTTGGTGCGATGCTACATCTCACCTCCTTTCATCTCAAGTTTGCCTCATCTGCCTTATTTCTGTGCCTTTTTCAAAAAGGTATTATTTTATTTTTGCAAAGCCGCCGTGTTACGCGGTCAGTTAGTTGTCATAGAAACTCAACAAAATTAAAAAGCGGAGGCAGATCAGGTAGGGCTCGATGTTAATTGCAGGAGAAACGGCTGCAGATGATAAATGGCTGATGCCGAGTAGTCAGGTGTTGCACAAAAGAGGATGCACAGTCATGTTCCTCGCTCTCACTGTTATGATTTTAATAGGTTTTTGTTTTTTTCCTCTCTTGGGGGTTATGGAGTTGCATTTTAATGAGGTTTCAAATGTTTTTCCAATTAGTCTGAAGTTGCCATCCATAATAAAATCCCTGCGTTCGGAGCTGACTTGAGAATCCATCTCGCTGCTCTTTGCAAGGCTCGGTGTCGTCGTGCAGAGAAATGCTTCCCTGTGCTGCTCACTGTTTTACATATGGATGCAATTAGAAGAGTCCCAGGCTGTTTCTTTAGCTTGTTTATGCCATTTGCCCTGTGATTGTTAAAACCTGCTTTGGTTTATGTCAGCCATCCATTGGCCCCCGAAATGCTCCGAGAATTAAAGGCTTCTCCCTTCAAGCGTCTTCGTGCTCAGCTGCCCGTGGAGGAAAAGCCCCATTAATTGTGTTGTTTTAGGTGTGCAGTTGTTGGCGTTTCTGGAGCTGGAAATGCTAGCCTCAAAAATGCCACCTTGAACAGTTACTCATTTAAGCTGAAGTTTTTAATTCGAGGCTTTATTAAGTCCTAAATTTCCAGTTCGGAACATGTTTTCAGAATTTTGACACGAGCCGGGGAACGCCGAACTAAACCCTTTGGTTTCTTCCCACAGGACGCCCTGAAGCCGACGTTCACAGTAGCGACCCTGCCAGGCTCGGCCAGCAGCGCCCAGTCCACAGTACCCACCACCTCCACCACCATGCAGGTGAGCAGCGGATCTTCGTTTCCCATCACCAACTACCTGGCCCCCGTCTCGGCCAACAGCAACATCAGTGCCAACGGGACCGTCCTCAAGACTGCCAGCGCCTCCACGGGGGTCATGCAGCTGCCCGGCGGCTTCACGTTCATGCCCGGTACGTTGGAGAGCAAACACCCACCCGGGCTTCTCGTCCTCATCATCCACAGCTCAGTTTTTATACTCCTAATGATTTGTTTGTTTTGACCTCATCCTTTGGAAGAGACACTCCTGCTGGCCTTCATGTTTTGTTAATGTCATCGTGCTGTCTAGCTTATTAGCTGATTAGAATGAAAATGGCACTGCGGCGTGACCTCAGCCGTCATCTCAGAGTGCTCGTGCCCCCCCTTCTCTCTCTCTCTGGGCTGTTTACATCACATAACAGCTCTTCATAGCCAACACTCGGGTTTTTACAAAGCCCCCAGTATTCAGGGGAGCCACGTCTGTTGGCGAGTGGCCCTGCCTTTGATTGTCACTTGGGGACAGGAATAATTAGGTGAGAGGGACACAATAGACCTGGCAGCGAGGGCTGATGAACAAGGGCCATAATTAGTCATGAATATTCAATGAAGGATCGGTGGCTTGCGCTGACATTATATATGAGGATGTGAGGCGGACTTTGTGGAGACAGAGTGGTCTCGACCGAGACGTGACCCTTCATTTAGGGCCGACGCTTTAAAACCCAAGGGAAGTCGGTGAGGACTTTAGGGTTGCAGGCTCCGATCTGAGGTCCCCTCCAGAGTGTCTAAATGATTTCTCCCTTAATTGTTCATTACGCTTCCCCTTTTCAGATACGGGTCTATAGGGGCACTTCCAAGAGGCATTACAAATATTAAAAATTCAATAAAAGATATTTAAAATGATTCCTTCTGTATAGGATGCTTTGGAATATTTATTTGCTCTGTTCACAGTTCTGAGGATTGTTAGACAGTGGGGGCAGTCTTTGCCATGTTGCCTTCTGTCACAGTAGTGTCGCTACAGCTGTGAAGCCAAACATGCCCAGCGCTCGTCAGAGTTGTATTATCTTAGCACTGACAGTAATGTCACTCACTAGATTTTGCTGTCTGTGCTCCGCCACAGCGTCTGACGGCGCAGACACACGATGGCCTAATGGGGACTATTTGTTATCTTGACTGACGTGTGAAGGACAGCCAGGCAGTGCCTCTGTCCTCCCGCCTTTGTAAAAAAAAAAGTGTTTTTTTTTCCTTCTTTCACCATCTTACTCTGCAACCTTTACGCTCTCTCTCTCTCTTTCTCTCTCCCTCTCTCTCGCTCTCTCCCCCCCACACCGCACCCTCTGTTGCTTTCTCTCTCGCTCGCTCACTCGCGCCCTCTCTCCTCCTCACCACCTGTCTGGCACATAGCAGCAGCGCCAGGTGGAACAACACACCCTCCCACACTAAAGCCTCCTCAGCTGACAGCTTGAAGGGGCCTGCCCCCACCCTACTCCAGCAACTGTCTGTGGAGCATATGACCAAACGTGAGGGTGTAGCTCCAGAGTCACGTTCTAGAAATGAAATGGCTGGCATTAGTTTACTTGGATGGAGGAAGATGAGAACAAGTTGTGCAGCAGGTGGATGATTTGGGATTTACAAAAGGACAGTTTCACCTAGTTAGTGTTTACGTCACATGACCTATCACACGCCTGCAGATTCAGGTTTTACAGCTTTTTGAACACACACCTTTGAGTGCTGAAAGTAAACGCCACACAACTAGGTGACCTCTGATTTGTCGTTTACTCACGTGGCTATCTATGAAATTTCAACTTCTGCGTTATTTTCAGTCGGTGACCTTTTATAAAAGCGTCACTTGCTAACCCAAAGCACACTGTGGAATTTTGACCTTGTAGGAATGTGTAGAAGTTGATAGTTTTGTGCACTTATGTGCACGCTGGTGGCACAATTCACACCATGCCATCGGTGTCAGGCTATCACGCCAACATAAGAGCATCAAGCATTGTCCAAGGAAATAACTACATTTAAAAAATCCAGTTTAAAAGACTCACAAAACACGCTTTGCAAATGAGACTCACTCACAGAAAATCATTCATTCTGTTTGTTTGGTTGCCGTCACGTTATCAGGCCGGTGTTCTAAACGTTAAAAAACATATTGATTAAAGCCCTGGTAAATGTTAAAAAAGAGAAAGTGTGTTTCCAGCCTAAAGTGCTGCCAAAATGTTGAGCAACTGAAGGTTGTAAACGACTAACAGTGACAGTGAACTCCATGCGAAATGAACGTATTAGCTCTTTCTCAAACTGCATTATCCTTTCATATTTAGACTTAACATTAGAGTGTGTGTGTGTGTGTGTGTGTGTGTGTGTGTGTGTGTGTGTGTGTGCGCGCGCGCATTTGTGTGCGCACCCCTGCAGCAGGCACTCCTCTCCCTCCTGGTACCCCCACCATTCCTCTGAGTCAGTTGCAACAGCACTCCTTGGCCCTCCAGGGGCAGCATGGTCAGGCCCTGGCCGTCACCCCACAGCCACAGCAGGGACAGCAGGCTGTCTTCCGCTTCCCTGCTGCTGTCTCCCTCACAGGTGACATGCTCTGCATGCTGCCACGACTGTGCGTGTCCTGTGCTAATCGTGTCTTCATAAACCTTCTGCTGCTAGCACTGCTAACGCTCCCTTTTCTGCTCTATAATCATGCACCTAATGCTTGCAGATGCTGCTTGCATGACTTCTACCTCGTCTACCATTCGCTGTCCTCACTGCTGCACCCCTCATCCCTAACACACTACTGCAGCCCTTCTGAGCCTGGGCGAGGTGTTTGACTTACCGTAGTGGCTTTTTGCCCGCTGTGTCTCTCCAGGCCCAGGGGTACCCCAGCAGCTCCAAGCTATCCAGGTCCATCCTAACACCCAGCCCACCTCCAACAGTGACAGCAGCCCTGAGATCTCCCACACCTCTACAAACTCCACTGGTAGGCCAACCACACAGACACTCGTGTGTCTTTCAGGCAGATTTACGTGTTCCAAACAGGGTTTGTAGATTTTCTTAGTGAACCAAAGTTTAACAAAAACTGCACACTGGTCCCACAACATTAAAACTGCAGTGCACATAATTATTCCCATCATGATGGCGAGTGGAAATGGGATCCCTTTGTGAGTTTTTGATTGTTAATTTTTAGTAAGAAAATCCTTTAAGGTCATAATATGTTGTGTTCTTACTGTGTGCACTGTTTGTTTTTGCTCTCCTCTTGTTTGGATGAGTTGATTCCCAGAGGACGGAGTAATATTGCCACTCTACATTGCATGAGTAGGAGTTAGCAGTTGAATTTGGATAGATATGAAGTGCCATCTGCTGGCCAGTGTGCGTAAACACCACTTAACCCATTGAATGACGCTTCCCTCCCTTTCTGGCTCTTCTTGCAGCCACAGTAAGTCTCCCAGCAACCATTGTCACTTCATCAGTGCCAACGTCTGTGGCAGGTCACATGATGTACCCCAGCCCGCACACAGTGATGTACGCCTCCACGCCCACGCTGGCAGACGGCGGGTTGGCTGTGCTCAACGCCTTCTCCCAGGGGACCTCGGCAATGCAGGTGTCCCACGCACAAGCCCAAGACACAGGTGAGGCTCCGAGCACACACAGCTTCCTGAGTGGCTCATGTGGATTGCATTGTAATTAAAAAAGTGTAATCAATAAATTCTAATCAATGTGTCTTTTCCTTTTTTTTTCTTTCTTTCTTCACATAGGTGGTGTCCCTCAGGTGTTCCTCACAGCACCTCCAGGCACGGTGCAGATCCCTGTCTCAGCAGTGCAGCTACACCCAGTACGGCAAGATCTGCATTTTACAAGTGAAACTCTCAAATTCCCTACGCAACCAGCATGCCATGTGACCGCACTAATGCATCCTAACAGAGCACTGGCACTCAGGAGGCCACAGGCTCGATAGAGCCCTGTGGCCCTTGTTTTTTGAATGAAAGCTGGCATAGTGTCTTACTTGTTTTCTACACATGCTATAGACTCAAAATCACCTTGTCAGTGCATGGAAACCAGAATATTTAGGAGTTTATTGATGTCATTTTATATCAAATTAATCAGTATTTTATACTATATGCAGATGGGAAAATCCCCCCACTGAACTGGAATAGGTGAAATAGTCCTTTAATTGGATCTAACGTCTCCTAATAGATAAGACCGCAGCCTACACACATAACAGAGAAAACATCAGCATCTGTTGCAGCATCACTCTGTGATAAATGGCATGCACTTTAGCGGGATCTCCATCTGCGCTGCGCGCTGTGTGATGTGATGACGTGCGACTGGCTGTCTGATGTAGTGTCTCCTGACATCGCTCTGTTGCCTTCCAGATGGTGATTGGCCAGCAGTCGAGCGGCAGCAGCAGTAACCTGACGGAGCTCCAGGTGGTGAACAGCACAGAACTCAAAGAGTGACTGACAGACGGCTGGAGCTGTTTAACACGGCAGACCCAGGGACACACACACACACAGACACACACACTGACTGACATCTCTATTTATTGATGCCTTCCTTTGTGGGTTCACATCATACTTCTGAATGTGACTGTATAATATAATATTA